AAGACCTCAGGACTGTGACCATTATCAAAACTTCTTTGCTTCATTCAGAGTTTCTGGAAAGTGCATCTGGGGCTTGACTTGTCCAAAGGTGAGACTTTCTCCTGGTGACTCAGAAACTGTCGAGATGTGAGAAAAGTCTGTTTCCCTCTTTCTCTCCCTGGAAAAGATTTGGGGTAGTGCTTTGATTGGCCCGCTGATGAGAACCACATAGATGTCTCCTAAGGTGACATCAGGCCATGTGATCAAGACTTGCTCTGCTGGTTTCTCTACCTTTCCTTCTGAGTGTTTGGGGGTGGCGGTGGGTGGGGGTGTTAGGAGAAGGGCCCACTTGGTGGCTCACTCCTGTCTTTAGCCTACCCTGCTCCACACATAGGCCAATAATTGTGCCATCTGTGTAGAAACAGTGTGCTTGGTGTGCAAACACAGCCTCAGGTGCCCCCACCTGGAGACCTGCCTGACCTCAAGGACACTTCAAAGGGACACACCAGGAAGAAAATACTGTGTTTGCTATGCAAACGCGCCTTCAGACCAGCCTCTGGTGCTGCCTTCCAACCAGGGGGCCCTTCCTACTCCTTCCTAGTCACACGTTTTAAAGCCACCAGTTCTGTGGTCCCAACAGTCTTCACGCTGCATTCAACTGCTTTGCAGGACAAAAGTTTCATTTAGTTCATTCACTACCACACATTCTCAGAGGGGGCTGCAGGCTATGGAAGCTGTGGGAAGGAAACTGTATCTCTTAGATCCACAAAGGCCAAGGAAACCGGCGGGGGAGTCTTGACCAGTGGCAAATAGGTTTGCAATAGGTTCAGCTAGCACACAGCTCTGAACAGTGGTAGCGTTGCTCCAGGCACTGGGTTGAGGAGGAGTCTGAGACCCCCATGAACAGGAAAGAATGGGTCCCATGTGACCTATTTAATGCCAAGGGTGCCTGCCAGGTTTCTAGAAGTCATAGTGGATAGTGATGCTGTTTACTAGGACAGGGATTACTGAAGAGGCTCAGGTGGAAGAGAAAGACGATGAATTCAGTTTTGACATGTTGACTTTGAGAGGTCCCGGTGACACCTGGGTACATAGGGGCAGCTGGGTACATAGGCCTGCCCCTCTGAAAGAGATGGTTGGGTGCAGACAAAGAGTGGGGAGCCACCAGCATGTACGTGGTAGTGACTGGCAGGGATGAGAGCACCCAGGTAAAGGACATTGTGAGGGCTGGGAAGAGGAGGTTGGGCAGAACCACCAAGAATGCCAGCGTTAAGGAGTGGGAAGAGGAAGGATAACTCTACCTGTTTCTCACTGTCTCTGCCTTTTGTCCCGTTGATAGGATCTTACATCATCAGTGCACAAGGGTCCTCTGTTCTCCAGGCCTTATCAGCACTAACAGTCGCTTGTCATTTTCATAATGACCATTCCAACAGGTGTGAGGTGGTGTCTCATTGTGGTTTTCATTTTCATTTCCCTGATGTTTAGTGATGCTGAGCACCTTTTCATGTGCCTGTTGGCTATTTGTATGTCTTCTTTGGAAAAAATGTGTATTCAGATCCTTTTCCCATTTTTAAATTGGATTATTTATAGCATTTTGCTATTGAGTTGTATGAGTTCCTTTTGCATTTTGGGTATTAATCCCTTATTAGATATGAGGTTTGCAGATATTTTTTTCAATTTTATTTCTTCTAAAATGATCTGAAAGTAAATAATAATAATTGTAGCATCATATCAATGTTAGTAATTTTGAGAAAGAAAATCTTCTAGTCGGTATGTGGTGACATAGGAGTAAGTCTATGTGAAGGCAGCATGCTTGGAGCTCTGGGCCCCCACCAGCTCTAGCTTAGAATCTTCATGAAGACATGAAGCCAGGGTCCTGGTCATTCACCCCTCCCACCTCCCCTAGACGTCATGAGACCTGGCCTGGGCCATTCTCTGGCCTTCACATCCCATGGGCCCCATGGTGATGACCCTCTAGCTTCCGCCATGATAAAGAACCAAGGGGACAAAGTTGTGAGACAGTTTAGAATCAGAACTGTCCTAGGGAATCCAGGATTTAAAACTGTAACTATGTATTATATATTTTTTATATACAATCAACACAACAACAAATAGAATAAAAACATATGCACACATATGTATTTTAAAAATTATATGTGACTAAAAGGAGATCATACTCTACTAAAATATTGACAAGACTCATTTCTGAATAGTGAAATTATTACTATTTTTGTATTTTCTAGATTTTGGCAATCTGTATATATTGTTTTTATGAACATAAAATTTATTGTGTGTAAATAAAATTATTTAAGGTAAGTGTACAATAAAACATTTAAAATGTCCTAGCCCCCATTGTAGACTTAACCATATTTTGAAACATTCTGCAATGGGAATAGATTGGCTATATAAAGACCAAATCTATATAACACGTATATAAAACACCCATATGTTACTGAGTTAAAAAATCCATCATCTCATCGCGTCCTCCCACAACCACATCAAAGTTACAACTAAACTACAGAACAACCATCATTCAGAATTGCCTGACATCGAGCTGAATGGAAGTCCTACAACTACGGAAATAAAACAGCAGCTACATCCAGACTGGTAGGAGGGGCAGAGGTAGACAGGCTGGTCCCACACCCACGTGTGGCGGATAAAAATCAGGAGGACACCTCGGCTGGGAAGGTCCTCCCTGAGGACTGAGGGGTTTCCGTCCCACACCAGGTGCCCCACTCAGAGTTCCAGTGCCAGGAAGAGAATCCCCATAACCTCTGGCTGGAAAAACCAGCAGGAACTGAGGCTCAGGGAGGCTGAGGCGGTTGGAGCCCCAGGCAGCTGGAGCCCCAGGCAGCTCCCCTTAAAGGGCCCGCGCATGGAATTATCAGACTCACTCCCTCTAAGCTTGGAAGGGAGGCAGCTCAAGGGGCGCCAGAGACATACAGGGAAGAACTGAGCTGTTTGGCATTGGAACGAGGGCTGGAAAGGGGCTTTCTCCAGGACAAACGTACTGTCAGAGGCCTTGGTTCCTTTGGTGAGCCCTTCCCGGGGGCGGCAGACAGCCCCCATATCTGGGACTCCAAAAACCTGCCTCACACTGGTAGCCCCACCCTGGTGATTCCCTGAGGCCCCGCCCCACTCAAGTTTCAGGCCCACCCAAGCTGTTGCCAGTTGCTTAAACATAGGATTGGCCTGTCTTGGATCCTGCTTCAGGTTTTCCTAAATTCTTTCAAACAAGCAGCATCTGGTCTTAGATAGCCCCATACCTCTAGTTAAGTAATACACAGAAACAAACACAGGGAGGCAGCCGTAATGAGGAGACAAAGAAACAGGTCCCAAATGAAAGAACAGAACAAAACCCCAGGAAAAGAACTAAGCAAAATGGAGATAAGCAACCTAACAGATGCTGAGTTCAAAATACTGCTTATAAGGATGCTCAATGAACTTAGTGAGGGCCTTAAGAGCATAAAAAAAGACCAGTCAGAAATGAAGGATGCACAAACAGAAATGAAGGAGGCACTAACTGAAATAAAGAATAATTTACAGGAAATCAATAGTAGAGTAGGTAAAGCCAAGAAGCAAACCATCGATTTGGAATATAAGGAAGCAAAAAACACCCAATCAAAACAGCAAAAAGAAAAAAGAATCCAAAAAAATGAGGATAGTGTAAGGAGCCTCTGGGACAACTTCAAGCGTGCCAACATTTGCATCTTGGGGGTGCCAGAAGGAGAAGGGAAAGAATAAGAAATCAAAACCTATTTGATACAATAATGGCAGAAAACTTCCCTAATTTGGTGAAGGACACAGACATACAAGTCTAGGAAGCACAGAGAGTCCCAAACAAAATGAACCCCAAGAGGCCCACACCAAGACACATCATTATCAAAATGCAAAAGGTTCAAGACAAAGAGAGAATCTTAAAAGCAGCAAGAGAAAAGCAGCTAGTTACCTACAAGGGAGTTCCCATAAGACTGTCAGCTGATTTCTCAAGAGAAACTTTGCAGGCCCGAAGGGAGTGGCAAGAAATATTCAGAGTGATGAAAAGCAAGAACCTACAACCAAGATTACTCTATCCTGCAAAGCTGTCATTTAGAATTGATGGCCATATAAAGAGTTTCCCAGACAAGAAAAAGTTAAAGGAGTTCATCACCTTCAAACCATTATTATATGAAATGATGAAGGGTGTTTTTGAAGAAAAAGATAAAATATATGAACAAACAAAATGGCAGTGAATACATATCTATTGACAATTGAATCTACAAACAAAATGAACAGGCAAAACAGAAACATTCTCATAGATACAAAGAACATTTTGTTGGTTACCAGATGGGAGGGGGATTGGGGGAATGAGTGAAAAAGGTGAAGGGATTAAGAAGTACAAATTGCTTGATGTGTCCCTTCACATCGATGTTTCTCTCCTCTCTCTCTGTTCCTCTCTCTCCCTCCCACTCTACCTGAACAAAAATGAAAAAATGTCCTCTGGTGAGGATAAAAAAAAAAAAAAAAAAGTACAAATTGGTTGCTAAACTAACCTCAAAGAGAAGGGGGTTTGGGGGTGGGAAGAAATAAACCAAAGAACTTGTATGCATAACCAATGGACACAGACCACAGTGTGGGAAAAGGCAGGAGGGGGGCGGGAGTGGGGAGGAAGGGGTCAATGAGGGAAAAATGAGGAACATCTGTAATACATTCAACAATAAAGATAAAAAAAGAAATCCATCATCTTGCTTTAGTACATGCCATGCTCTTGGAGTCAAGTTAGAGCGTTTGATCTATGGTACCCCAGATTTCCCCCTGCAGGTCCCTGCGGTAGTAGAAGTTACCAAAGGGACAGAGGGCCATAGCTGGGCTGATTTCCCTGTCAACGCAGGGTGGGAGGGGACAGCAGGGTTCGGGCGAAGTCCTATGGCGGCACGGCTGCATTGCGGCTCTCCATCTGCAGTGCCCGCTCTCACACCCTGTGCAAGAGTACCCAAGGTGCATGGACCTTCTAACGCATCTCTTTTGTTTTGGCAAAACAGGCAAGGTGGGGCCTCCTCTGCACGTCGTGCTGGATGCATTGAACTGTACGGCTTTCAGCGTCCGGTGGAAGATGCCAAGGCATCCCGGGCACCCCGTCACTGGGTACACGGTGAGTACCTGGGCAGGGGCTTTCTGTGGTGGGTGTGTTGGGACAACTGTACTCTCCTTCTCGTCTCTGCTCCTCCATCATGTGACCTCCCTCCATCAGCCTTCCCACTGCCCTATTCTCCCTCCTGAAACAGAGAAATGTTGCTGCTCCAGGACATTTGGAGGTGCCCGGTAGGTCAGGCAGGGTCTACCCGGCCCTTCCCCTGCTCAGGGACGGGAAAATACAAACTCAGTGGCAGACACGGCTCCTGTATCCAGTGGCCTGCAGTCAAATGGCAGGAACATGGGAAATACTAGGGAGTCGCTGTGGCATGTTGTCGATACGTACAAAGTAGTGTAAAATCTGAACTAGAGTAAAGGGGTGGACAGGCAAAGTGCAGGAGTCGGGAGAGAGCTCGTTCCTACCTATCAGATTACAATTAGACGGACTGAAGTGACCAAAATGTTTTCTTTGAATAGTGTTGGCTTTGTTTTTGTTTAAGAAACATTTTAAAAACTTGATTTGAGAGCAAGAGACATGGATGTGTTATCCCACTTATCTGTGTGTCCGTTGGTTGATTCTTGCATGTGCCCTGACCTGGGATCAAACCTGCAACCTTGGTGTATTGGGGTGATGCTCTAACCAACTGGGCCACCCCGTCGAGGCTGAACAGTGTTTTCTGAAATGAGTCAACTTTTGGAAGTCAGTAGATTTCAGATAGTGTTGGGAGTTCTCTGATCTGTGGGGACGTTGGGACAGCCGGCTGCCCTGGGCCCGCCTTCCCATGGGGCCCCACATGGGCTGGAGCTGACCGCCCACTTCAGACCAGACGAAAGCCCCCCCCAACATCCTAGACCTATCACCCCTACTGTCATCCGTTCAGCAAGGGAGGGCAGTCATTTATCAATGCCCTGGTCCTGCTGTCTCCTTAAAGCAGAGAAATGTGTTTCCCGACTCAGGTCAGTCAAAGGTGGGGATAAAAGGTGACCTGAGAGTCGAGGTTTTCAGGAGCAGGAGCTGGGTCCAGGCCTGTCCATCCTCCTCCCTGACATGAGTCTTCCTCCTGACCTCTGCAGGCTTTTGAGGAGGGTGACCCTGCCAGGTGTGTCCCTCTTAGCTCTGCAGGCTGTGTGAGGAACGGCAGAGCACCCCAGAGCCCACCACGGTGGGAGTCGCCCTGAGCCCGGGCCTGGACCGGATGGGAGTCCTGCCAGCTCTCACCTTGTGTCTGTGTCTCTGCAGGTCTCTTACTGTGCAGTCGGCACAGACACACCACCGCAGGAGCGGCACCGGAGCGGGTCCCTGGGCCGGGCCACCGCCACCACCGTGAGTACCCCCATCCCGGCCGCCCTCCACGTTCAACACGCTCTTTTGTGAAACCCCAGTACAGCTTTATCAGTAAATATGACACAGGTGTGTCTCCCCCACTGCCTGGAGATGCCACACTGAAGAAAACGACGTAATTGGAAGTGTGCATTTAAAGGGTCCACGTCCTGTATGTGTCTTCCCCAGCCGGGCACCCTGTCCTTCCGCTAACTGACTGTCGGCTCGCATCTCTTCCTCTTGTTTCCTGTCAAGGTTTCTCTGGGTGAACGTTTCTGCCTCGGGCATATTCTGTCCCCCCCTCCCCCATCCTACGAATGCCCTGCAGGTACAGCCTTTCCCTTGCTGTGCCGGAGGTCGCAGTAGTGCCCAGAGAACTGTGGGAGTGTTGGTAACCCACTGGATGGTGCCCGCTGGGGGGCCCAGGGAAACCTGCTTGTCCTCCGTGATGAGTAGCTGTCACTCACTGAGCTCCTGTTACCTGCCGGGCTCCATCCCTCATGCGTCCCATTTGTTTTCCCCTTAATCGTCACCACCATCCTATGACCTCATGTTACTGACAAGGATGCGGAGACTCAGAGAGGTGGAGTGACTGTCCCCAAATCACACAGTAGCAAGCACCAGAGTCGACTGCGAACCTGGGGCGTTGGAGCCCTGCTCTGGCTATTTTTACCAAAGCCCCCGAGACTCCAAAGCGAGACAGGGCGTTTTCAGCTTGCGTGGACTTTGCACGATGTGCTATTAACTTCAGGCTTGGGCTCAGACTTTCCTCACTGGCCCCAGAACCCTCACCCCTGAGCGCCGTGGCTGACTCCATCCTCACGAGGAGACTGGGTTGGCCTCACCCAGGAAACCGTTACTTGGGGTTCAGTTTCCCCTCGGCAGCGCTGGAACTTTCAAGAAGCCCATGGAGCCAGTGAGGGGCCAGCAGTGTCCTGGGCAGTGTCCCTGGCCACCAGCCTCCTGAACTGCAGTGGGCGTGGCTAGGACAGTCTAGGTGCGGGTAAGGGGGCACAGTGCTGGTGGCAGGTGTTTTGCAGTCTGGATAGTGCCTCTGAAACCAAGATCCTGTCCCATCAAGTGACCCTGGCTGGACTCCTGGACCCTTTGAATGTGCACTTCACGTTACACGGCACGTCTGGACGGCCAGGGTGGTGCAGGTGTGAACAGGGCCAGGAGGAGACAGCACCCGGGTTGCAGACCTTCCTCCCATGCCTACAGGCTGGGTAACCTGGGCCAAGTCACCTCCCTGTGCAAACCCCACCCGTCTCCCGTGAGAAGGGTATCGTAATTGTGTTGTGTGAGTGCCCAATGAAAGCGTATACGCCTTTGGGAAATGGAAAAGCAGCCGTCGCCCTGGACGGTTTGGCTCAGCGGTTGGAGCGTCAGCCTGCGGACCAGAGAGTCCTGGGTTCGGTTCCCGCTAGGGCCACGTACCAGAAAGAAAAGAAGAGCAGCCGTCTAGATGTCAGTTACCATACCCGACGGTCACTGCCTTTCTGTTCAGTCCTTCTCCCCGTCCGTACAGCCGGGCATCGGAGAGTGCCATCAGACGGTAGCATTTCACAGCCTTGCAGATTTCACAGGACTTCCGGAGTTGCTGCTGGCCACCCAGCCCAAGAGAACACTGATCCCTGTTCTTGGGCAGCTTTTGGTCTCACTGAGAAAACCACAGTCACATAGTGGGCGACATGAGGCCAGGTGTCTCTAACGTGCCCCGTGGTGGGCGGACGGAGGTTTTGAAGGGGGGAGTCCGTGCAGGCATCAGTGGTCAAGAGGTAAAATGCAGGGCTGAGAATGAAGCCAGGCTGTTTCTGGAAAAGCAAAAGAGAGAAGGGCATTCCGATTGACAGGCTGGGTGTGAGCCAGGGCAGGGAGCCCGCGTGTGTGCGTACGTCCCCGTGTGCCGTGTTTGGTGGGGTTGGGGGCACATGCAGAATATCAGCCCGGAGAGAGGAAATGATGACTAGACGTGACAGATGGATCAGGAAGCGAGGAGGGCACTGGTTTAGCAGAGTGAGCTCTGGGTTCCGAGGACCTGCATTCAGATTCCTGTGTTAGACCGACCAGCTGGGCCGCCTCCCCGCATCTCAGTTCCCTGGTCAGCACACAGGGAGTCACGCAGTATCCATCCATAGCGAGTGTATCTCTGATCACACCCTCGGGTCCCCCTTTCTGCTTCATGTTGCTGTTTTTTCTCCTTTGCAGGGGCAGTCTGATCATCAGGTGCTTTTTGTAAGTATGCTTGAGAAAAGTTAAACCCCTGCCCAAGCCAGGAGTCAGGGGGTCTCTTTGCATGAGAATGCTGGTTGTCCCGGGTCTGCCCCTCCCTGTCGGGGGCCCGGTGACGAATGCGTAGTCCCACGGGAGCGGAACAGCGGGGCGTTCCTGGTGGCTTGTCCATCACTTAGGAAGACGCCACCTGTCATCCTTGTGTGTGATGCTTCATCTCACAAGGCAGAGTAAGGTGAAGAGGAGCCTCTCTAAAGGTTGAAGTCACTTAAGCTCTGTTCCAAAATTAGGTGGAAAAGATTGAAAAGGAAAGAAAATATTTAGACGAGTGAGCACTTCTGTGGTGGTGGTTTCCCCATCCCTGCCCCTTCTCCTTTCATTACTTCCTCTAAGCGGTCTAGACCTCCTCCGTAGGACCGGGTCACCTACACCTGGGTGACTGGCTTTTTTTGGATTGAATGACAAACAAAAGATTGGGTTGGCAAGTGATGAAATGGCCAGAATTACCGGGCTGATACTCATGTGGAATTCTGATGCCTTCTCTGATGGTCTGCCTATGTAGAGACTTCTGATTTGGTGAGCATTTGACATTTACCTTTTTCTTAAGAGAGCAATCTACAGTTTCATCCTGGAAAAAATAAGTAGTAAAACAAATCAGGACAATCTAGTAATTTCTTAGGGTTAGAATAGAAAAGGGTGTATAAACTGGAGGTGTCCATACTTTTTACCACGCGTAACATCAGTTAACAAATATTTGAACGTGTGCCAACATATGTATATGTGTGTACTTATTAATACATATCCGACTCTACTGACATATTGTGTACGTTATAAGATCCCACCGAATGGTGAAGGAGGCCCTAAAACAGAAGTGGAAAGCTCTTGGGTTTTCTCCTGCAGAGACGGCCTTGCTCGCCAGGGGAGGCGCCGCTACCCTCTTTGGACTCTGCCCTGGCTGACCCAGAGCAGCGGTTCTGTTTGGGTCCCATGCCAGGTTAGAGCAGGAACACCTAGCCAGGAAGGATGAGACTTGCGTCTAGTCCCAGCTCTGTCACCATAGCAAGGGTCACTTGGGCAAGGTCACTGAACCCCTCTGAATGTCCCCTTGACTGTCCGATGAAGAGGTTGATGAGTAATGGTCCCCAACTCAGGGTTCCTTTGCCCCGTAGGGCGTATGGAGATACGTGTGGGCATTTTCGTGGACGGGCTTCAGGGGTGCTGGCTTGCTTGTAACACACAGGACAGACCCCGGCAAGAACGAGAGCCATGGCCCCTCCTGCAAAACCCAGGAAGCTACTCTAACCTTCAGGGACCACCCAGGGAATGGGAATCCCTCCCACTCCTCTCTGCTCTGGCCTGCACAGCCTTTCTCTGGACGATTGGATGTTTAGAAGATAGTACTTTTCTATTTCTCTGGTGCCTTCCCTCTAATGATGCTAGATATTCCCAACTGAGACCCAGCCCTGACCTGCGGAGTCAACCATGAAGTTGAATCCAAGGTCACTAGTTACCAGTGAAGGTTCTTTAAGAAGCATGGTAGAATTTCGGTGTTGGAACTTCAGTCCAGAGGAGTTAAGTGGCAGGGCATCCTGGCTCTCGTCCAGGGCTCCCACTTCTGCCTCCTCCCGGCCAGGAGAACTGGATGCGCTCGCAGGCTAGTAGCTACACGTCTGGGCTAGTGAACAGGACAACATCTGGCATCGTTTTGGGAAACAAATGGCCTGGGTTTTCAGCAGCAGGAGACAGTGAGCGGGAAAGGGAAGGGGAGATCTGAAACCAGGGTCTGATATTTAAGTCCTGATTTCAGTGATAGCTTTTAAATTTCTGATACATCAACATCTATGTTTATAGAGAAAACAATAGCGCGGTCTTCAGTGTTTAGGGTAAGTGTGTTTTGTAGATTGAGGTATCAGCTACGATTTTTCATCCACGTATTATAGAGTGAGAGCCGGGGCCCTGGAGTCCGCCAGAGCAGGCTTGGGAGGCCCACCGCGCCACTGCATCATCACCCGTCCTTGAGCCGCTCACCAACTTTTCAGGGGTCCCTTTCACCTTCTCTACATGAGAAGAAGGGCGATTCCGGCCTCCCTGGACTGGAGGGAAAGCTAAGCCGGGCTCCCCCGGGGACAGCGGAACACTTGGTAGCTGGTGGTAGCGAGCTTGGCGTGGCTCACAGTGATGACCCGTGAAACCACATCACTGCCTCCGCACTTCACACAACCCACTGAATTCCCAGTGAAAGGGACAAACGCCCGTGAGAGCACCAGGTGGGCTTGGAAAAGCCTGGGCGTGGCAGTTGGGAGACTGAGAGCCGATCTGCTGTCCACCTGCTCCGTCCGGCCTCTGACATGAAACCAGGGCACAGATGGTGGAACTAGGGTACCCAGACGCGGGGAATTAGAGCAGGGGGGCTCTGGGAGCAGGTCCATATGTTCAGCAAAGAGCCTTGTGCAGCTAGAGTGGGGGTGGGGAGGGCACTGATTAGACACTGGTGCTCCGGGAGGCTGCGGAAGTGGCCCAGGTCAGGAGTCAGAGGAAGTGGACGAAGGCAGCGGGTCTGAGAGGCGTGTGCCGGGGATGGAGGGCGGTGGGGAAGGGGGAGCCAGCCTGTCTGGAGCGCCTCACTAACTCCAGGGCCTGGAGCACGACACTGATGCTGTTGCTCAAGGTAGAGGGGCCAGTCATGGGAGCTAGTTCATGAGGTCATCTGCTTACCTTGGACATCTTGGTTTAATTTCTTTTGTGCATTCACTAGTTCATGCATTTGTTCATCAGAAAGCCTTGCTTGGGCATTTGCTCCGTGTCTGATAACACGATGCTAAGCTTTGGGATGCCAGGGGAATAAAGACTCGCTCCCTGCCCTCAAGTGGGAGGAGAGGTGACAAATAAACAGGCAGTTACAATGTAAGGTGAGTGCCGTTAAGACTGAGGTGCACCAAGGACACCAGGAAGCACAGAGGAGGGGTGCCTAACCAGACAGCAGTCCGGGGGTCAAAGGGATGAGGTAATGTCTCAGCTGAACTGAGTCATGAAGGATGAGCGGGGTGAGCCGGGCAAGCCTGGGGGGAAGGGCATTTCATGCAGAGGGAGCAGCAGGTTCAAAGGCCCAGAGGCAAGGGATGGAATAGCATAAGTCTGAGTCCTGCCAAGTTCTTCAGTCTGACCGGAATATAGAATGCAGGGAGGCAGGTGGCATGGGATGGTGCTGGAGGGGTGAGCAGGGGACACAAATATGTTCTTCTCAGGGACTTTAGAGTGGGAGTCATCAGACTGGGGGTTCCGGAGGATAATGCTAGCAGTGTGGATCTGCACTAGGGGTGCAGGCAGAATCAGAGCCACTGGTAAAGTTATGAGGACTTGGGCTGAAATGTCTGTTAGGACGAAATGCCATAAACAGATTCAAGTGATGTCAGGGACTGGGAACAACTGGTAGCCTGTTGAAGGGTGGTTGGGAAGGATGGGTGAACAGAGAGGAACATGTCAAGAATTTCTGGTTTGGATAAACAGAGAGAGCACAGAGGTGGAGCAAGGTTTTGTCTTCTTTTGGGGGGGAGGGGGAGGAAGGATTCGTTGAGCTTTGGCTATGCTGAATTTGAGTTGTTCGGTCATTGTTGGGTAGAGATGTTCAGGAGGCAGTCACAGACCCACGGCTGGTCAAGAGGCAGGTCTAAGCTGGAGATGCAGGCTTGGGAGGTGCACATGAAGGTGGGTGCTAGAAGCTAAGGGAGCAGTAGATGAACTCACCCAAGCAAGAAGACAGCAGCCCGCCCTTAGCCGAGGTTTTGCTTTCCACGGTTGCATCACCCGCAGTCAGTCAAGGTCTGAAAATATTAAATGAAAACATCCAGAAATAAACACTACATAAGTTTTAAATCGCTCACTGCTCTGAGTAGCATGATGAAATCTCGCGCCATCCCGCTCTGTCCCACCCAGAACACAAATCATCCCTTTATCCCATGTCTCCACACTGTATACGCTCCGTGTCCTTAGTCACTCACTGTATAGACTCCAATAAAGGGCACGTCTCTAGTCTTTGGAAATACATTATAGTCTTTTCCTCTTTGCAAATTTGAAAACTTGGCCAATCTCAGAGAAAGCAAAACAATCTCTGTTCCAAGCAGGTACCCAGGGGCCTCAAGATGCCGCCTTCATGGAAATTGTCTGGTTTGCCCCCACTGACACCTTTGCTGTTTGGTCATTGACAGGAGGAAGTGATCGGAGATTTGAAACCAGGCACCGAATATCAAGTGAGTGTAGCAGCTTCCAGCCTGACAGGCAAAGGGTGGCTCAGCTCTCCTCAGCATGTTACCACCTTGCCCCAAGGTAAAGTGGGTTCAATTCGTTAATAATAGGAACGTGATGGGTGATCTTCATCCATTCCTTCGCTCAGTGTATGTCAACAAGGACCTACTATGTGCCAGGCACTGTACTAAGCTCTGGGAATTCAGTGGTGAACAGAATGGCTCCTGCCCTCTTGGAACATAGTGGGGTGGGTCAAGCCTTCATCTAGTTAATGTGTAGTCACAGATTGCCATTAGTGCTACCTCAGTGCTGTAAGGACACCCAGAGGAAGACCTGATGTGGGGAGGTAAGAATTCCCCAAGATGATGACTACATTAGACCTGATGGTGAGTGGGAATTAAGAAGGTGAGGAAGAGGAGTGGGAGGAGAGATTTATAGGCAAAGGGAACCCAACAAAGGCTCGCTGAGGTGACTCTGGGAGCCAAAGTTGCTTTGATGATACATTCATTGCTCACAAGGAGCTCACTGTGGAGGGAGAAGCAAATAGTAAGCCAGCAGGTCCAGGGGATCTGAGCTCCGTGCAGTGGACTTTGGAGAGCTCAGGAGAGTGCTTTCTCCACCCCGAGGCTCAGGGAGGGTTTCAGGAAGATTCATGTCATTGGCCCAAATTTTGAAAACTGCATAGGATTTTGCTAGGAGGAGAAAGCAGGAAAAATGTTTCTGGTGAAAGCAATAGTGTAAACGGAGGCTGAGAGATAAGAAGGTCTGGGTGTAAAAATAGTAGCAGCAGTCACTGGCGAGAGGATCATGAGGGATGCATACGTCTTTACACATGAGGGCATTTCCTAAATGTGTTATCATTGGTATGTATTCTGATGATTGGGGGAACACACACACACACACACACAGACACACACACACACACAGAAAGTAAGTGGCTAAGTATTTTCCTTGTAGGTAAATATCAATTTCAACATACAAACAGAGGTGAAAGGTTGTTAGGAGGTGGGCGTATGATTTGAGGTTTTAAGGGACCACACCGTTGTGTCCCAAGGTCACTGGTCTGCTTTGGATAATAGTTCAGTTGGATTTCACCTTACATGGTGAATCCAGTCGTGATTATTTTCTCGTTTGGTTGGCTAGATTTTGAGGCTGTTTTGAATAAAGCTGTAGGCAGTAGGAAACACACATTATATCTACATATTAAACCTCTCCAATAGCAAAGCTCACAAGCCAACTAGTTGTTTGCTGTCTTGTGTAGAGTCCTGCCTGCCTCCATCAGCACCTCAGCGGCCGCACGTCACTGTGGTTTCTGCGTCTGAGGTGGCCATATCTTGGAAACCTGGAGAGAGTGAAGGAAGCTCCCCTATTCAGTACTATTCTGTGGAATTTATCAGGTAAGTTTGTGTCACACTTAAAAGCCCAATATAGTTACCCCAGGTATTCCAAGCATGATGGAAGACCGGAGCGAGCATCCTCTCAGAGCCTGCCATTTAACAGAGGACAGAGGCGTAGATCCCTGTATTTATCCTCCATCCTTGGGTCAGCACCACGCTTCAGTGGCGGGTCATCTGGTAAACCTTCCTCACGCATCTGGCCTTTCCCATTTCCCTCCACAGTCAGAGATGGTCCTAAGTCTGAACACTCCTGAGGCACCATTGCCAACAAGCCTGCCTGCATTTCAGGCTTGAAACGTACCTCCCTGCCTTTGAAACACTGTCTTTGAACTAAATATTTGATGGTGAATTTTCTGGAGACGGGGAAAGCTCTTTAAAAACAAGTACAATTCACCGAATCTGTATTGCCTTGGGCACGTTGCTCGGTTGGTTTCAGCTTTTCCTTTTTCTCCTCACCTCTCCAGTTCTTGTTATTCAGCTTCTCAGAGGGTAGAAGGGTGTTAGGAGCTTTTCTACGAGTTTGCCAATGTGAAACGGCTCCTCAGTGCCGCTATGTCGTGCTAAGCAAAAGGGGAATGGAGCAGAAGGAATTCCCAGTCTCGGGTCCTTCCTCTGAACTCCCGGTGCAGTTATAATTTGAGTTGAAGCACGCAGCTGATGAAAATGTTTGTGGAGTTGGGAGTTGGTGTTCTCTGCATCGGAGGTGAGGGGGTTGTTCTGGGCTGCCTGCTCCATGGATTCATAAAGGGACTTGCTCAGTGCCTTGTTGCTGAGGCTCTGAAGCTGGGGCGGAGGATCCTGCCAAGATCCGACAGCTCTGCTCTGGTCCTGGACTTCCCAGCTTATTCCTTGGTGGTGGGAAACAGTTATTTGTTTCTCCAGAGAAGTTCTGCACTGAGTCTCTTCAGTGCTTGAGTATGAAGCTTGTTGGGCAGGTTTGTTGATTTCCAAGTGGCAGGAGCTTGAAGGAAGGTGAGGCAGTCACGTATTGGCTCCTGTGACTGTAACGTCCAGTGGCAGATCTAAATTCAGGGAGGACCAGACCACGTCACATCGGCGGTCTGTCTTCACCCATTTCTGTGCTGCACCTTCCCCTTTGTTGGCCTCATTTTCAGGAAGGATCTTCCTGTAGGTGACAAGAAGTCCACGAGGCACTGAAGACTTGCAGTCAAGTAGCATAGCTCCCTAGTGGAAAAGGACCCATCAAAGTCTGTGTTCACTCTTATTGGCCAGGCTTGGGTTCCTCCCTGTTCTCTGAGCCAATCACTGTGGCCAGGGAGGAGACCACACTCATTGGTCAGCACATGTCATATTCTGAGCTCTGGAATTGAGGACTCGTGGGTCATTCATACCTGAAGTACATGGACTGAGGGTTCAAGAGGGTGGAAATTGTCGTGCAATTCATGGAAAGGGGAAGAACATTTGAAAAAAAGTTGCCTAACCACCCTGGTCGGTTTGGCTCAGTAGTTAGAGCGTCGGCCCTTGGACCAAAGAGTGATGGGTTTGATTCCGGCCAAGGGCATGTACCTTGCAGTTCATCCCCTGCCCTGGTCAGGGTCCTGCAGGAGGCAGCCAATTGATGTTTCTTTCTCTCTCTCTCTCTCTCTCTCTCTCTCTCTCCTCACCCCCATCCCCCTCCCTCCCACTCTATCTAAAGATAAATGGAAAAAAATATCCTCGGGTGAGGATTAAAAAAAAAAAGTTGGCTACCATTACAGCTCCAGGCCAGTGCTCTTCCTTGAACATAATCTGCACTCCTGCTCTTGAAAGGAGGTGGTAGCCCAGCCTGGAGTAGAAAAGATTCTAATTCTGGCTCCAAGAATAGTTACAGGTGCAGCACTGGAAAGTCCTATACCTTCGGCTTTCTCATCTGTAAAACTTAGAGTGAAACTTAACATTTCTAATTTATCAGCAAAGCAAATGTAATACTTCACAGTTGGGGGGGGGGGGATGCAGAGTTTTTCAAAGGTAGCCTAGCAGATGATCTGTGTAATCCCTGGCAAATACAATGGTTATCATTTATTACTAATTTTGCATGAAAGCATGTATTTTTTAAACGTGTTTTAAGTCTGGCATCTGGATGAAGGTAGAAACTACAGTTTGTTGCCTTGTGTGTTCAGCTGAAAGTAGATGCTGGGGAGATTCACTGGACTAAGGACCAGAACGGGGACAGGGGCCCGGTGCCTGGACTCCCCCTGCTGAGGCCCCCACGCCTGAAGGCAGAGCGCAAGACAGGGACTAGGGTGCAAGTGGTCTATCTTGTTTAGAAGTAGGCGTGAGATGTGAGGACACAGAAGGGTGTGTTTGGTACTCAGGTCACTACCACAGGGCTCAGGGTCTTTGGTGGGAGCTAACGTCACTGAGGTCTCTCTGCAGTGTGGAGACTCCATCCTCTCAAATCTCCCTCGCAAAAGGACAGGAGCCAATTACTCTTCAACTCTGTCCTCCTCTTTGGACTGGGGCTCCCCAGGGGTACAGTTCGCACCTTCGAGGCCCTGCTGGGTGTGGACCGAGGAGAGGCCCTGGGAGGGAAGGAGCTGCGATGTGAGCCCGGCAGGTGTTGCGGCTGGATGCCGGCCGTACAGGGAGAGTCTGGGCTCACCTGTTCCCAGTGCCACAGCCGCTGCCGAAAGCACACTGGGGACGGGGACGTGACAAGGGCCCAGAGGCATTGATCACAATGTCCTTGTCTGCAAAACATGGGTGATAACTCCTTCCAACCCTGTCACGTGTGTTAAAGAGAATCAAGTGAAATCACACATGAGAAGGGACTTGGTAGACATTGAAAACCTACAGAAGTGCCAGGTTTACGTGGCTGTTCTGCACCTACATTTACTAATTACGGCTCCTCTCCAGCAAAAATGCATTTTACCATTCGGATTTGTCTCTAACATTTGAGGGGCTTCGGCCCCACATTCTTACCCATAAATATTTTCAAATTATTCATCATTGTAACAAACTGTTACATATATTTTTTTTCTGTTTATCTTGAAAAAGATATCTTCACAATGCCGTGGAAAGCTAGCTTCAAATTTCGAATTCCTGGACACCTTGGAGTTCCCAGTGGACCAAGGTCGGACGGGAAAGCCAGCTCCTGTTCCAGCCCGTGTTAGGAGCTCTTCCTCTGGTGTCTCTCCCAGAATATGTCACTGTGGCCATGTGACCTGATGTCAGAACCTCATCTGTAATATCAAGGTCATGTGGCCCTCACTGCAGGGCTCTTGTCATAGATGTCACAGTTTGTCCACAGTAGACATTCGATGTTTGTGTCTTGTGTCCTTCCCCCATGCCATCATTTCCCTTTTACCAGGAAAGAAATTGAGATTCAGTTGCTTAAGTTGCTTGGCCGAGGCGAAATGACTGGATGGGGACAGAATTAAAATTGGAACAGGCCCTGGCCGGTTTGGCTGGTAGAGCATCCGCCCACGGACCAAAGAGTCGTGGGTTCATTTCTGGTTAAGGGCATGTACCTCGGTTGCAGTTCAGGTCCCAGGCCCTGCTCAGGTCGTGTGGGAGGCAACCAGTCGATGTGTCTCTCTTGCATCGATGTTTCCTTCTCTCTCTCTCTCCCCCCCTCTCCCACTCTGTCTGAAGATAAATGGGAAAATATCCTCGGGCGAGGATAAAAAAAAAATGGAACGGAAGCCCCCTGACTTCCAGCCCACCTCTGTTTTCACGCAACCCACGGCTGGTCATGCGTGATGGCCTTCAGAGCCCGTAGGAAGTGTGGACTCGGCCGCCCAGAGCCCCGCTGGCTCGGGCGGGGACCCCAGCCCCGGCTGCTATGTGCTGTTGGGCCAGGAGACAGCTTTCACAGCGGGTCGTGCTACTTACTGTCGGGCTGCAAGACAGATCCCCACATTCATTCTGTAAATGGTCTCAGAGTCTCTCCCGTTACAGGTGAGTCCTGAGGGTATGTGTTTAGAGAGAGCTTTCCCAGACTCAATATCAGAAATTTGCAATTAGTGTGAAAAGCATCAGGGGTCTTCAGTTATTCTGTTTTCCCCAGAGAGGTCTGTTTAATGCATAATATCGAATTCCTTTGGCCCAGATGACCTCCTGTGTACAGAAACACCTGTGACAGGTCTCTGTGTGAGCCCAAAGCTTCTTGTTATATCCAGGAGGCGGTCCTGTGGCAGGCCAAAGCTAGCAAATTGTCGAGGTCATTTATGGTCAGAGGCTGTCCCCAGATTTCAACCATCTTAATGTGAAATTTCCATCGAAGTCTGTCACTGGAAGATTAGGTTCCGGTCCTCTTTCTGTCTTGGTAGGTGCTTAAACATCAGCTGCTCTTCTTATTTATTAAATGAGGATAATGGTATCAAAGTTGGCCTGGGGTGGTTCATTATCTTTCCTGCTAACAGTAGATTTTTAATTTTTAATCAGTGTAGAAAAGATTTGAAGAGGCAAATTCTAAGTAAGGCTAGAGGCTGTAACGTATTTTGCAATGTTTTCAAAAAATTTACCTGCTTTTATAAAACAGAAAAATGGTGCATTTGTGGTGAAAGAGAACATTTCTAAAATGATACTAAAACTTTCTTTGTGGGCAGCAATGCTTAGTGTTTGTTAAAATAAGAGCCAAGCATAAATATAGCTACCTATGTTTTGAAATATTTTGGCTATAAATATCTAAGAAACTGTCTTCCTTCAGCCTAAGAATTTCCCCAGGGTAAGTGCCTTTCTCATAAGCAAAAAAAAATAGAAACGATGGTGGCAATGAAAACTAAAGTCCTGGAAAATATTCCTCACCCCTGATGTTCCAAATGGGACCCCATGCTTCACATATACCATCGATCAGGTTGGCTAAAGGTGAAAAACAGTTTTCATTTAACTCACCTATAGTTTTTCTGTAGTGTGAGCTGATTTGTTACCATTGCGTCAGAGCGCCGCAGTGTCAGGTGCTGAGAAGGGTAGACTAACGTCTTCGGTGGCTGTCTTCCGAAGAAGCTGACCTCTGGCTGTTTTGACGTGCTTATGGAAGTTCGCTGTATTTCGGTGTA